TAGGAATGTCGAAGAAGAAACGAGAGAGAGAGAGAGAGAGAGAGAGAGAGAGAGAGATGAACGAATAAAGAAGAAAATACGGACGGGCGACGTTCGATCGGTCTCGACTTTCATTTCGCCAGCCGGAAGCGGCGAGGAAATTGAATCCTCATTTCCTCCGCGGCCGACACGCGTCGTAAGCACCGTTTTTATGCAGACGAACGTTATGCGCGAACAACGTTCGTTGAATGAGTCTGCCTGTTAGGTATGCACGAGGGATCGAGATTTCAAAGGCAAACGAGAAAAGAAAGCAAAACAATTCCTAAAACCTGTCGTAACAATGTGAAATATATAAAAGCGCAATGGACCGAATGGAACGACACTTGTACTTCTCCTGACGATCTTTTTCTCAGGTCGTCGCGAAAAATTGCGTTAATTCGCGCGACAATTTTTTCTCAGAGCGTCGTGAAGAACCTCATTCATTATATCGTTCTCACGCGGGCATTGTTGCCTTACGCAAAGCGATTTACGAAACGAGAGCTCGTTGCGAATCGCTATTAACCGTGTCGTGCGCTTATCACGTGGAAGCGACCGATGATAAGGAGAGACTACGCTTCCTGGAATATTAACGAGAGAAGCATTTGGCGCGATAAGAACGAGCTCACAAAGGAGAGGCAATTTCTCTCCGGAGAAATGGTCGGAGCGATGTATCTGTGACGCGTGTTGTGATACGCGTCAATTAGTAATTTCAATCAGCGCTGCTCCCGAGCAATAAGAACGAGCATCATTGATTCCGTTGTCTTCTCGCCTTGACTCGGCGTATATATCGCGCGCTTATTCTATTCTACATGGGCGAACGTCGCGTCGTGAAATCATTTGCATGCCATTCCGCCTAGACAATCTCGATGTCGCTGATATGCTCGCGATGCCTCCGGCGGTAAAAGGTCAATTGATAATCGTATGCCGACCGTTACTTTGGAAACAGCGCATACAACCGACCTGAAAAATTCGTCTTTAATGTTCAACATACAGAACGACTCACTTGTAATATTTTGGGATTCGTATTGCAACATATTTCTTTCACGAAACGCGAACGGTACCGTACGATATCGCGGACGCAAATAAACATATTAAGAATGCGGTGACATAACTAGGTGCAGTCGATTGACTCTCAACTACGTAATGTCATTTCTTGATCTTGTGCTGAAAATGTTAATTCCGCAATAGCAGATCCAAGAAACGACATTTCGATAACGCCATTCCTGACATTTCGCCTTGAAGGCTCACGGCTACGAGGTTTATCGGCGTTTGCTCGCCGAGACATCGCGTCGTGAAATAATTTCTATATTTAGTACTCACACACGGCACGCGGTCGCAGACGTTTCGACATGTACGATCGACGAATTCGAGAAAAGAAGGACGAGTCATCGCAACGCAAATCCAGGGAACGCGTCATGATTCGGTTGCCTGCTATTTCTTCGTTTTTCCGTGCGCGCAGCACTCCTGCGCTCGTGACTGAGTTCACCTCTTAAAGACACGAGCGCGAATGCAGTCGCACGATGAATCATGCGATACATGCCTGCTGCGCGCTGACATTTGTGCACCTTACTTTGAGCTTCTTCGTGGCGTACGCTTCTCAGGATGCATCGCGCTCCAAATATTTGGAGTAGAAAATGGAACCTGCTTGACCGTGTGCCCTGAGATAAATCTTCATTGCAGCAACGATCAAGTATAACGACGAAAATAAAGTACGGACGGTTGTAGGTGCGAGTAAATGTAAAGAAAATTTGCAACAAGAGATGTATCAATATGATTATTCACGAGCTTCCGAGCTTCGCGAATTGAAATAATACTGAAATATGGTCGATTTAAAGAATATCTAAGAAAGATTATTTACAAATTGAGAGAATCGAACTTCATTTACTGATACTTGATATTAGAAATTTTTCAAACAGGGTATTCAGAGACGAATTAAATTCTGCGCCGTCCTCGACGTAAATCTCGACGATCTTGACATCACCTGTTTTTGACAAACCTGTTTTGATGATACAGAAACGAACCATGCCGATCGGAAATAACGGAGCGTTTATAAGAACGTGAAATTCGAATCAGTGGGATTAGTTGTCTATGGTATAAAAGTTCAGGGCAAGGGGTCGCCCTGAAATTCAATTTCCCGCGAGACTCAACTCCCGTTCGCGCCGCGGGGATTGCATGCGATTGTAATCGCATTACATTTTTCAGGAATGATAAACGAGACCAAGCTCACATGAATATTTACGGCCGAGGATATATGGGAGAGATTACGCCACTGGTGGTAATGGCACATTGTGCGGACCTTAGAGCGTTCGTAGATTAGGTAGCATCGGATGTGAGAGCTCGCTGCTCCCAATCATATGCATGAGACCGCAACGGGAGGTCGGATTTCGATTCAGTCTTCTACGAAACAAGATTCCTCCAGTTCGCGCTGAATCTTTGTCCGTATATCATTAGAATCATTATACACTTCGAACTCATCTTTTTACACAACCGGATCACTTTCTTATTGGCTGTTTCGATAGATACGAAACATTTCCATACGTTGGAACCGAACGCGAAAAAAGAATGGCTGGCTTGGTTCAGCGAAGCTGTAGATCGATGGACAGAAAATTCAATGTCACGACTAAGCGGATTTGTTCGTGCAGCAAAGAAATCACGTACGAAGGTAATTTTCGAACCTTTAGTAAATTGCTTAAAATCGCGGCAAATTCTTGTATCTTGTATTTCTATATGGTTTAATTAATTTGTGAAAACTTACGAATTTTGCCAACATGATTGCTATAATATAAAAAAAACTGACCGCCCGTATATATACACGGCTGTAGATTTGCTATCGCGATTTTCAGATCTAAAAGGCAGATCCTCTCTTTCCGTGTCGGTTATTGCCTCGGTGCTGTACTTCTTTGAATTCTCGGCTATCAAGATCTCGCGGGCGCCCAAGTGTAAACTTGTTCATTGAGGAAGGCCATGAAAGGAGAACATCGCGTAGCGATAGTAGATCAAACCCGCGGATTACAAAAGTATTAATCAGGGCGGCACGGGAGTGACGAGTCGCCCACGCGCGTAATACATCGCAGTCACATCGATGACTTAATCGCCGGTATCGCTAATCCTGCATCCTCCACGTAGTGCCCAATGACACATGAGTACATCGATCGTTTCCGAAACGCGAAGGAAGCCTGACGATACAAACTGAATGAGAAATATGTAAAATACAGCGGAATACAACGGAGTGCTGCAAACGATAAATATCACGGACGAAGGAACATAATGGAGCTACCTAAATAAACCCAATACGATGGCCAAGTCGATAGCCGGTACAATCTTGTATCTGGAGATTCTTGGTCGATCTTTCAAGTCCTCCGTGGAATCTACAGAGCCAACATAGAACCAAAATTTCGACAGGGAAGAGTTCATGATTTCACCTCGTCTCGCTGAGCGGGACACGGGAAATCTAATTTCAGTCTCGAGCAAATGACGTTTGCTCCAAAAGTATCTTTTACGCGAGATCTCAAGAAAGATCCTTGTAATTTCTTTCTCACGTAATACGATGTACGATTCCATGCGACAATGGACGATGGAACTCGGGATTGTACTCGGGACACGCAGGAATCGGTTGTTGTTGTTGTTGTTGTTCAACCGATCAGGTTCTATTTCGGGGAATTCATGGCGATCGAGTGCGTTAATCCTCGTGAACGTTGAATTAACGAGGGCGCGCTCGCGCTCGTAAAACTTGCACCGAGCTTGCCTAAATATAAAATCGTCCACGTTACGCCTCCCGTAAGGCAGCAGGCTTCCTGAGGCTCTCCACGACGACGGCCGACATTTCGTCGTTAACGTGATGACGTTCTCGTTAAAGGAAAGACCGGTGTAACATGTACGTACGCAAGGCGTACGAACATTTTCGGATTCTAATATCGTAAACATTTATTTGCGCGCGCTACCAAATACACCGATTTTCCCGCGGTTTTTAACGATACGCGCGACGTCGACTGTCACTCCATTGCACGTCGCTTCCAAGGATTAACTCAAGTGTAACTTCCCCGAGGGACTATCGCTCGTTACTAGAATACCCGCGATAAAACTCGAGTGCATTCCGTCTTGTTTTGCCGGGCAGAATTCATATCTTTTGTGCTTGGAAGTTAAGATATAGAAACGGTAAGATATAGAAGAAAAGATATAGATAGTCAAAACGGGACGCGTATTCTGAGTCAGGCTCCTACAGGATTTCAACGAGAGTTCGATACGTACGGTTTTTCGGCGATTTATTAATGAAAAGTGTCAGATTGTTTGTTGAAAATGTGTTGCTATCGTAAGTATCCCATCGGAGATATCAAGATTGAGCAAATTCCAAATATTTTGTCGTATTTTCTTCTTTTATAAAAAAGTAAACGGGTTAACCGTGCAAGGGATCAAATACGGCTTGTCGGTTTGCGTAGAGAAAAGTAATCGTCTCTTATTTGAGGTGTATTAACGCAACACCTTCTTCCGTATCCGTTTCCTCAGGAACTCCCGTGTGTATTATCGGATTGCGTTAGTTTCTTTGAAGTCTGATGAGTAATATTCTCCTTTATGAGACATTAGTAATCGCTTATTTTTCCTCACTGGTATCGCGCGGTATCGCGAAACCGCACACTTTCTCAGATACTCCCAGCTTACCGCAACGCGTTTGCCCGTGGGAATTTAATTCCGGACTCGAATCGCTAACTTTGATCAGAACGAGACACGAAGATCGACTTCTCGATGCAATCTTCAAACCGATATACGGTTATGTTTGCAAGGAAACCTTGATTTAGCCAGCGCTAACGAGATACGTTTCAAAACGTACGAATTATCGTATCTTGCGTCTCTACCGAGGTGTTCGATTGACGGAGGTGATCGGTTTGCCGGCGACGCGCGCGTCCAGATTCAACGGCAGGTTGCGTGAAGTTGCAGCAAGCACAACTAAGCGTTTACGAATGCAACAAGCAAAAAAGAAAACCCACCATCCACGGCCGTATTTGTCACGATACGCCGACACGGCGAATCCGAACATAGACCTCTCCTCCTTGTGATACACCGCATAGTGTTTCGTCTCGATGTTGAAGCCATCGGCGGAGTGCCAAAACGGCAGCTCGACGGCGGCCAGGCCGATGAGGCAGCAGAGAAACTTCGTCAACCGCATCTCATCCACCGGACCGACGTGCCACGTGATGAGCGCACTACGAACACTCTGTCACCGTGTCGAGTCACTTTCATATATGAGAACCGATCGTGGAAATCGCGAGGAAGACGCGGCGCACACGCGACACGCGGTGGACGCGGTCGGGAGCGACGATCGGCTGGGTCCGTATTAACGTTTATTACGTGGACAGCCGTGCGCGCGCGCGCGCGCGAGTTAGCCGGTAGCAGCAGCTGCACCAGCCGACGACATGTGTGTTCCCCACGAGGCCCTCGAGTCGCGACAGGGAAAGGACGACCGGGAGGGAATGAACGCCGATGGATGCTTGACGGACGACCGCGGACAGACTGAGTGGAGCACGGTTCTTTCGGGTAGTCTTTGCTCACTCCGGCTCTCCGAGGGCCGGAGAGACTCCCACCCACGGCGCTGTGCCGGGGCATTCTAGCAGTGGCACCGCCACCACGTCCGGCGCGCACCGGCGATTTAGGCCTGCTCTACGATACGTGTTGTAAGCTGTAAGCCGTAAGAACTGATCGATTATAGCCGATTATTTTTCTAACAATCGACTGTGACTCGCCAATTCTTACGGCTTACAACTTACGGCACATATTGTGGACATCAGGCCTTAGACACCTTCGCGCCTTTTCGCGGCAAACCGATCGCTATCAATCGCCGACTTTGACGGGGACAGACGATGTTTCACGCACTGGAGGCACTAGCGGCCAAAAATGACCGGTTCGTAATTTACATGTTGCGCAATATAAAAAACAATAAATGAACGCTTTCGCCATTTGCACAACGCGTTTCTTTTAAAAACCTTTTTGAAAACCTTCGTCACTTCGATCGCTTCGTATCGAAATAGCTCGTGTTCATCGTCGGTGAGCCTAATGTTGATGTTTTCTACGATATTCAGAGTATCGTTTTCACGCGAACGCGAAAGAGTATTTTTTGCAAGATCGCGGAATATCGAAGAACGAGATCTTTCGTACGTCGAAAAAGATTGAATAAAATCGAGTCAGATAAACAATCTGCACGTAGGAATGTCGAATAGAAATCGCTCGGCGTTTGTAACCGGCCATTCCGATAGATGTTCAATTTTTCGCGACTGATTGAATCAAATTTCGTTACGATGAGTTCGCGAAACACACGTATATCTGACGAAATTCCGCGCGAGACTTTGGCTTTTTAGCGAGTCGGGAGCAACTAGCTGAATTCTGAGCTACCATAACCTGATAAGCACACGAAACTTCGTTCGGTATTTCGCGGTGATTTATTTCGTGAGATATTCTCTTTTAGGCTTTTCAGTGGCACGTCATCGCGATAAACATATGACACTTACCTTCGGCATTCCCGGCGACGATGATTCACACATCGAATTCACTTTCTGCGTGATTAAAATCAGAGAAAACTTTTCGAACGTCCATCCATACGGCTTGATCCGCTCCAAAAGGACATGTATAAGGGTGAACGTTGCAACAGCGGCGATTTTGAAAGTATCGATATCGATAACAATCGATTCGATATCGACTTGCAGCGTGTACGATTGTAAAGGATGATAACTATATGACGCGAAGTAGTTTTAGAAAAATATATCAATAATATTGTGACTTACTATATCGTAGATATATATTTATACTTATGAAATATCTGGAAGCTAATAAATTATATATAGATTCGTGAGAAAATATATTATATATTTTTATGAAACATATATATATATATTATTTTCCTATAGTTATCATTTTTACGAATTTGACACCAAATATCTCGCGAAGGAGTTATTAAACAGTAAGTAATATAAATATTATTCAACAGTGATGAATTTAGTTAAGTATTTTTCACAAAAGTAACTGTGAGTGCCATCTCGTGACGTTGATGCTCAAGCTGATACCCAGAGTAACTAACATAGAAACGCTGCATGATTCACTAGCATGTGGTTCAACACAAAATACCAATATCATGTTGGCTCTACTGTTCGTTATATATATATATATATATATATATATATATATATATAAACTAACCTAGTATAACCTGTGTACTTGTTTTGAAGTCGTCTGTATTTACTCTTAAAATGTATGCATCCTATACAGAAAGTGGTTGCTCTAAAAATCGACGATTGTTCACTTAAAAACTTGTGTGCACTTAACATTTGTATAGAGAAATTAGATATACAATTTCTAAGAAAAAAAGAAAGAAAGAAAATACGTATTTGTGAATAATGGAAATGGAATTTGACGTGGAATCGCGTTCGTTGATAACATCAGCACATGAAGAAGAAATTTCAGATACAAGTGACTTAAAACTTGTAATTAATGGAAATCAAGAGCAACTAGGAGCCGTATTATTGGAGACTGAAGATTCTTGTGATACAAAGAGTACAGAAATTTCTTTGGAATTAAATGCTACTCAAATTCCATACAATACTAATCTTCAGATTCCTTCACAATCTGATGTAAGTAATATATATATTTAAGCAATAATATTTTACACTTGTATATTAGAAATGAAAGATATTATGGATATTCTTCCAATATAAATATATATTTAACCATTTATTATAGAATCATTCGAAAGAATCAGAAGAATTAAGAAATCTCAAGGTATTCGAAATAACAGAAAATAATATAGTTGTAAATACCACAAAGTCAGAAAACAACACAACAAATACAAATTTAGAAGATACAGAATCAACAGATATTCCTTGCTTACAATATGATTGGTCTGTTGCATCAAAATTATTATATGTAGCTACTGAGGAATATCAGCCTACAGAATCATGTGAAAATTTTACAAAAGGATGTCAGTGGTCTCCGGATGGAACTTGTTTACTTGTACCGTCGGAAGATTTTGGGATACGTATTTATGAGCTTCCCAGAGAATTTTATTCTGAGAAAGTACCATCTAGTTTTGTACAGGCCAACTTTACATCCGCTCTAACAATTAAAGAAGGGGGTCTTATATATGATACTTGTTGGTATCCCTTTATGAGTACATGGGATCCCACAACATGTTGCTTTCTTAGCACTAGTAAAGAGAGTCCTGCTCATTTGTGGGATGCAATTACAGGAGAATTACGTGCAACATATCGTGCATACAACCAGTTTAGTAATATTTATAAAACTAAAATTTTTATATCCACCTTTGCCTTCTTATTTGAATGCTGTCTCTGTTTACAGAGTTGACGAAATAGAAGCATCTATCAGCATTCAATTTGTGAATTCAGCAAGTGAGATATGGTGTGGCTTCCAAAATGTTGTGAGAACTTTTGATACAAATCGTCCTGGACGGCAGACAAACGATATATTTTTTAAACATTCTTTCCCAAACATGGGTGGATTAGTCTCATGTATTCGTGAGAATCCATATATGCCAGGTCTCGTTGCTCTTGGCTCATATTCTAAATGTATTGGTATGTATTTCTGCAATATTTTGCATATATTTTAATTACGTTTATTTGTTATTATTTACAACTCATTTTTTCCTGTACCTCAAGGTTTATACAAAGATGGTCCAATATGTGTTTTTGCAACTGCTAGTGGTGTAACGCAAGTGGAATTCAGCTCTTGTGGAACAAAACTATACTCTGGTGTTCGGAGAAACAGCGAATTCTTGTGTTGGGATCTTCGCAATCCTGGGACTGTTCTTTATTCTATGGAAGGGAGGCAATCGGATACCAATCAAAGAATAACATTTGCAATTACACCTGACCATAAACATATAGTCTCTGGTAAATTTAGCATAAGATAATGAAATTTATTATAAGTATATAATATAATGTACTTCGCACATTAATTATTATTTTATAGGTGGCACTGATGGGAGTATCACTGTATGGGAATTACCAGACAGTATTACGACAGATAATGATGAATATTTAAATCCGAAATATAGAATTAGACTGTCTAAAGATTGCATAAATGGAATAAGCTTACACAAACATTTACCTGTACTAGCAACTAGTTCTGGACAGAGAAAATGTGGTATTGAAAATATGCATAGAGACAATAGTGTGAGATTATGGTGGGCTTCTTGATAACGTTTTGTTAATTAAAATAAAAATATTTGTATATAATGTAAAATAATATATTCACACATATAACTGTAAGCGGAATATTGAAACATTTCATGATTTTTTCTTTAGTAATCATTTTATTTTTTCTTGTTGCGAGGAGAAAGATTGTAATTTGTTTTTAAATAAGTGTAACTGAAGTACTATAAGTAATGCAAAAATGCTTCGACTATACAAAATGAGAAAATGTCACGGAAACTAAAATAGTATTTTTATACCAGTCAACTTCGTTCTAACTTAATTCGTCTGCTTCGTATGGATGGGTGCGTGTGTGCGTGCGTGTATGCGTGTGTATATTAAAATATAAATATAAATTTTCAAAATATAATAACATTTATGTAGAAAATGAAATTAATTTTTTATACAAGGCCTCAAATTGTAATTATCATCGAGTTTTCGTAAGGTAATCGATATCAAGGATGCGAACACGGCTGCACCGAAAATGCACCTCGATTCGTTTTCGCTAGCTATATGTGGAATTGTGCATTCAAGCGGACATTCTTGCATCCGAGGGAATAGCGTAATACCGGTATTATGGATGCACCCTTTGAAAGCATCGGCAGTCGGTTTCCTAAAATTCCGCGAGGTAATGTTGCAGAAAATATTTCTGTCGCATACGATAACGCGCGATTATTTCGGAAGAAATGTTATTCGTCCATACACAGATGTTGCTATCGATAGGTGGATTATCAAATATCCGTGCGTCTTTTAATAATCTTCGATAAGTGAAAGAAATTCTAGACGGCAAGCGTGCAGCCAAAAACAAAATCACTCAATGTGCAGCGGAACAGATATAATAGTTAATATATTCTTGGAGATTCTATTATTTCGCCATGTTCACAGCGAGCGCAAAAATATTTATACATCTCATCTCTTTGGAAAATATATGGACAGAATTTTCGTTGAATAATATATCATAGTATCTATCATCAATATATCATCATGCTAAAGCCAAAATTTATACGATTAATTTATGGTTATTTAATGATTATTTAATGGTTATTTAATGATTATTTAAGTCTCTTAAATTTTTTATCACACGAGAAAAGGTAACTGACCCAAGACAGCTGACACAGGTTGAATGAGTGCAATTTATTTCTTTCTGGCTATTCCCTTTAAAAATATCGTGTGTGAAAGTTTCACATTATTATAATAGACAAATACACCACTTACAATTTTGAATTCTCCTTGAAGGCAATAATTGAACATAATATAGTGTTTAATCTATGTTGAAATGTACGGGTAAAAATAACGTGATATATAGAGTAATAAACAACAAATAACAATTATAAATAGCAACATTAATAAAAGTAGGGAGTAGCTCGAAAACATGATGAATTTATTTGGCAATAAACATTTACGTTCAACAGGAAAAATAACAGAAGTTCAATAAATGTGTAGAAAAAAGTCATCATGCAGCTAAATACGTAACTTTCACCGTCGTGTATTTTCGAAGATTCGGACGCGTAATTTTGTAATTTCTGCTTCACAAAGATATATTGTTTTCGTGTTAACGGCTGTTATGAAGTTACCTCGAAAATTATACGTATTTCGTAGAATTTCGCGGTGAATGCTGAATGTATAATTGATGCGTGAACAAAATATAATATCTACGTAATATCTGATTTACACGTTTTCCAGAAGTTAAGGCGGGACTCTTACAGTCGTAAGCGAGGATTAAGACGGTAAGCTTATAACCGTGAGGCGGGGTGGGGTGCTACAATTATCTAAAATTCGTCTGTGTTCTCTTTCTCTGTCTCTCTTGCGCGCGCGGCGAAGTGATTACAAAGACTGCTGCTTCCACTGAACTTCTTAGTTAATTTCCGGAAGCCGAACGAATTGTACTATACACTGCTTGATGGAAACTGCGAGTTTCACGAAAGATAGGTCTCCGCTCGAAGATTTATCGTGTTTGCACGCGAATTTCCAGAACCTTCTGCTCATAAGATTTATTGTATAATTTCGTAAAAAATAATGCGAGTTTTTCGCGTCGTTGTTAATTTTTGAAGTATATTTTGCGTTTGTGAAAGGACTTCTATCGGAGATGCTAATGACATTCGTCAACTTTCGTACAACCTTATATTTGTAGAGGAATGTGCCTCTTTTTACTTACAGCCGGTTGGTCCTTCATTTAAAATCTCTTTTCATACCACAATTGGAAAATCTATGTTACTTTCTACGTCAGGTACCGATTTAACTGAATTCAATTATCTTTTTCTTCTTGTTTCAAGGACGAAATTGAATTCAGTCAATCAAGATTCTAAACCTTTGCCTACTTCTTCGAACGTACAATCGAGTCGTATCTTTTCAGATATAATAGATTGCCCAATGATCGAGTGAAAACAAAACCCGTGAAAAAAGCTACGAGCGAACCATCAAACTTACAGACGCGCAAATGATTCGGCTGGATCTTACAGACGTATTAATTTCCACGCATTTCTTCTCTTTTTCACTCTCCCTCTCCATCTCCTCTCTTCTGCTTTGTGCTCGGAATGTATTAACATTGAATCACTCATTAATGCATGCGTGTACGTATACGTAAGAGATTTTGCATTTCAAATTTAACCTGCACCCGTGATACATCGCACAACCGCCCTTATCGTGTTCATTGATAATTCTTTCCTTCCGCCGGAGTCTTCTCGCGCATTGCGCCACGAAATTTCATTAGCATTTGACCGTTCATGCCGCGACGTTTCTGCCGGAACAAGACATGTACGCGCAATTCTTTTCGTTACAGTGCAGCATGAGTGTCGCGAGACTGATACAATTTGGCAAATTTGGCACGTCGAGCAGCGAATTAGCATGTCAAGCATTATTCAGTCTGTCGTAAATCATCGTGAGACATGAAATTCGAATAGAATCATTCATACTTTATTGCGTGGAGTATTATCATGTGTTGACAGATTTTCTGAAAATTTAAGAAAAAGGACATAACGAGTGATAAAAGAAAAGAATCTAAAACAGAGGAAGAGAGAGTATGTCGAATGAGAAACGTTACCGCGATCGGAGAAAAATAAATAAATAATAATAATAATAATAACAATCCGGAGACGTTACATTCCGTGAAAGAACGCCCATTCGAGCTATTTAAGGAAATTTTCCAATTTAGAGCGAGAATCCAAGAAATCGATGTTCTATACATCTTCCAAAAGGTCGGAGGGTTTTAGATAGAATAATGGCGCGCAGTCTCTGTGCTGTTTCTTTCAAATTTATTGTATTTCGAAAACGCATCGTTTTCTTATTTATACGAAGGAGGTATTGGGGCGGTAATGTATCACGCGCAAAGCCACCCTCGGCTTAATACGTATTTCATATTTTGTCCTAACGACGTTAAGCCTTCACGCTGGCTGCGCTTTCGATTGTTCACTCCGGGTAATCCCGGGCCCGACTGGACGAGAAATATAGCGCCTCTTGAAAAGCGCAATGAATAACCACCGCGCAGTTCCAGCCGGCTCTGTTTAGCATCGGCCGTCGGCCGATCTGTGCACGCTCAGTCGTAGATGTGACAAGTACCGCCCGGCGACAAGTGTAACGACGACTTTTCCTCCATTGGCTGCGCTTTGACACGTTAAATACTGCCCTCCGCTTACCGGCAATGCCTGCACAGCATTGTATCGAAACACGGCGACGATCGAGCAACGACGAGCAGACAGCGTAATTGCGCACGACACACAAAATTACAACGACGATTCGCACGCAACTGGGATTCTCGCGTATCGCGAGATTATTCTGAGCGCAGGGCGAGAGAACTCGCGGAATTTCAATAGGCAACTCGGTTTTTTTTTTTTTTTTTTTATTTACGTGACAATAGCAACCGTTACGGTGGGTATTCCTCTCTCTTTTCTCTCCACCTAATCTTTTCTGAGGGAAGTGGGGTCTCTCCAGACTCGCCGCGCCAAGTCCGCGGGCTCGTTAGTTACGCCATTGTGATTTTCATACGAGCAATGTGAGACGCACTCGCGATTTTATTCGTTGCATTTGTATTCATAGGCAAACACCCATTATCGCGTTCGCGGGCGCATGCGCCAGGGTGTGCGCTTATTTTTCTTACTCGCATTTCCATTAAACTCGAGGGTGAGGCCTAACTTAAAGGAGGTAATATATTTCCCTTTCTTTGTTACGAACGACTAAATTACGTGGTACTCTACTGGCAATTACCAAGTCAGCAACCCATTAAGTGAAGTGTGCTCCGATGAGGGGGTTGGAGGGGCGAGGAGAGAGTGCCACGCCATTATTGAAATCTTTCTGCCTGGAATATAAAATTAAGCAGGAAGTCCGATACTATTTTTAAATGTGTGTGGCTATATGTGAGAAAGAGAGGAAAAAAGAGGGAAAAGTTGCGAATTACAATCAACTAAGTTTATTCGGCTCCAAGATTTGTAAAGAGACAACAACGAGGGTCGTGATTGGAGCGCTGCTAGTCACATTGCGTGTCGGCGTCTGTTTTGTCCCGATGATTCATTATCACACGTCGACATCGTCATCGAATCGAGCGACGGCGTGCCGCCGAGACGACCTCGCGAGCGTAATTAGCAAATCCTGCGTCGAATGGAAAAGGCCCGTCGCGGTAAAGAGAGCGCGTTTATCACCGAGATCGTCGTGCCGACAGTAAAAACAGAGGCGAGGACACACTCCTGCGCCCTCACCCTCTCTCCGTTATAACGTAGCGCCATTTTTATAACAGATGACCCGTCGGTCCGGATGCTGTGCCGGACGGGCACCGACAAATACCCACGCCACTGTAAAGTTTCGGCTTGGGCGCGGTCGACAAAAAAAAAAACAGAGGGGGAAAAAGAAGGGAAGAGGGAAAAAATAGAGAACCGAGCCTCATAAATATTTAACGACCGAAGCTGCAGCTCGCACACGAATTTTATACCATCCCGTTGTTTCCCAACTTTAACGGAAAAAGGGGGATCGGAATACTTCCCGTCGCTGCCCCTAAGCCACCCTCAAAGGGTAACACCGAGACTGCTTTGTTTGGCGCGGTTAACGCCAAGAAACGCGCACTTTTGCACATGCGGTCATCGTATACTTATCGAAGTTCAGAAAAACTCCAAGTTTGCATTGATTCGATCGGCATTCTTCCGAGAGATGCCCTCTCGCGGAACACGATAATCACGGTTATTCCCGCGGAGTCTTCAAAACATCCCAAAGGAGAAAGCGGGAAAAGCAAATGAAAGCGTGGAAGGTAATTGAGTGACATTTTCGTGACGTCCGCGACGCGTGTTGCGGGAACACTCGCGAGGTGTTTGCGTCGTTTCGTTGTGATCTCGATGAAACTTTTGC